AAATAAATAAATAAATAAATAAAAATATATTCTATACTGATAAGAAACAGCTGAGAAAGAATTTATTTATGTAACTTATCTAGAAGATAAGGCAAATGATCTTGTAATAAATTTAACGAGTTTATATTACCTAAAGTTGCCTATAGAGTGCACTTCGCACTGCATATTTTTTTAATCTACTTATCAGAATCATGTCATTGTGAGCACTCCTGGTACTGAACTGCCAACATTTACCAAAGCAATGGCATCACATGTAAACCACTGCATTAAGTGTTGCCATATATGAATTTTGTATCATCATAGGATAAATTTCCCAAACTGATAACTGCTGAGTAAAATCTAAGCTCTAATAAACAGGTATATTAGATCTTGGGTAAAATAAAGCATTGCCAAAAAATTATTTTCAAAAGAGGTACCAAAACAATCACTTTAAATTGAAAACACAACTTTGAAAGATGTTACTATGACAAAAGGATAATTTTGAGGATTTATGATTTAATTTTTTTGTTGTGCTACTGGTTATTTGCATGACATGAGGTGTACCTATTTTAAAAGACATTTTATTTTGGTGTGAAACATTGTCTAGAAGAAAGAGAAATCCTAAATTAAACATACAAATGAAAATTTACCATTTTACAATTTCTGCATTATTAGGCTGCCCAGGGATTTGTGGATGATGGACAGCAATCTCACCTCAGGCACATCAACACTTCTAAAATTCTCCACTGACCATACTGGTACAAGTAAAGCACAGACATAGAAAGTAAGTACTGCACAGCATTATTAATATTAGCAAGAAAATTTATACTTTGGCACTACCATATTAAAGTTTTATTAATATTTTTATATGTGCTATCACATGAACAATCTAGGTGTAGTTAACTACAAGTTTATACAGCAAATTGAGCCCAGTCATCGAATGCAAGAGCACTTGAATGTTTTTCTTTCCAATTCAGTACCAGTACATATTTTAATATGCATTTTAAGGAGTGCCAAGGCATACATTTTTGTGCCAATATATATATATATATATTACTTAATTGTTGATCAGCTTTAGATTCTTTGTGTAACACAACTTGGCCAGAGCTTTGTAAACTAAGCTTTTAGACAAAACTGACTTCATATTTTTTGTTACAGAATTGTGCCACAGTTTCACATAAAATATAATATTGACTTATCTAAACTCTAAGGCACTCAAAACTTACTGGCTAACTATGTGTGTTTTGCAAAGAAACTAACATATTTGTTTTGAATGCTATTGATTGCAATGTACACTCACATGTTTGAATAACTCTCTAAAATGACACGTGGGAAATTTTGCTGGATATGATGGCCCATCATTGTATTGTATTGTATATTGGCATCTTTCAAAAGTAAATGGTTGTTTATTGACAGTGAAGTTAATAAAAACAAGGTTTTTAACAATACCTTAATAGATCCATACGATTTGTATTATAAATCAAATCAAAGCATGAAAGATGTTGGCTAGTTGAATTGAACAGGAATTTAGAGTTCCTGGGGGTGGGGCTGCTCCTAGGGGTGGTTGATTTCAAGTTTTTGCATTGTAATATACTATCTTTTCTTAGACTATAAAAATTACAGAATTGGAATTTTGGAAATTGATCAACCTTTTATCAGAATAAGGCATAAGCCTTTTTGAATTTTGGTATATCTGGGATTGAGGTTGCCCCTGGGGGCGCATGATTAAATTTTCACATGATAATCCATGCTAGACTCAGCTCTCCTTGTACATTCCAACTTCTGACACTCAGTCTCTCTAAAACAAATTAATTTCTTCCCATAAGTTTTTTTTTTAAAGGCAAAATTATGTTCTAGAACAAACCTTTTTTTTTTTTTTGCCCCATCCATTGTCAGTAAGCTGTCATTTACAACTGAAAGAAAATGTGAGCTGTCATATCTTGCAAATTGTTTCACCTTTTTTCTTGAAGTGATGGGTTTAGACTGCAACTGACAACATACGATTAAAAAATTGACAATAATGTCATCACTCAGTATAGTTGGGCTGTCCCTGGGGGTAGTTGTTTCTGAATTCTTCTCACATTGTAATTTCCTCTATCTCCTCCTAGATCATTAGACAGGAAGTTGAAACTTGGGTGATTGGAAGACATATCAGGATATGTGGGGCTATTTCTAAATTTTAGTGCAACAAGGGGTTGGACTGCCCCTGAGGGTGGTTGATTTAGAATTCTTATGAATCCTTATCACATTATGATTTGTCCTATCTCCCCCTAGACCTTAAGATTATGAAGTTGAAACTTTGGTGATGGGTAGAGCTGTTGTAAGGGATGTACATAAGCATAGCAGAAATTTAGTGCAACAGGGGCCAGGCTGCCCCTGGGGGGGGCGGGGGGGCGGGGGGGGGGGGAGGGCATTAGATCCTGAACAGATCCCGAATTACTTTTTGCTGTCTCCTTGTAGACAATTGGACTTAGGTAGTTGAAACTTTGGTGATTGGTTGAACTGTCATCAGGGATGTGCATGGGCATTTTGGAATTTTAGTACAACAAACAGGGGGTTGGGCTGTCCCGGGGGGGGGGGGGTTGAATCTAAATTCTTTTTGCTTTGTATTTTCTGTGAACTCCTTATATCAGTTGAGTTGAATAGTTAAATTTTTGGTGATTGGTTTAACTTTTTGCTTTTTGCAGGGATGGGCAATGGTGTTTCAGAATTTAATCATGCCTGGGGATTGGACTGTCTTGGGGGGGGGGGGGGGGGGTATTGATTCTAAATTTTTAT